AAAAAAAAAAGGTTAAATAAAAAGAGATTTAAAAATAAAAAAAAATAAAAAAAAAAAAAATGTTCTGAGTGGCCGGCGCCGCGGCTCACTAGACTAATCCTCCGCCTAGCGGCGCCGGCACACCGGGTTCTAGTCCCGGTTGGGGCGCCGGATTCTGTCCCGGTTGCCCCTCTTCCAGGCCAGTTCTCTGCTGTGGCCCAGGAGTGCAGTGGAGGATGGCCCAGGTGCTTGGGCCCTGCACCCCATGGGAGACCAGGAAAAGCACCTGGCTCCTGGCTCCTGCCATCGGATCAGCACGGTGCGCCGGCCGTAGCGCGCCGGCCGCGGCGGCCATTGGAGGGTGAACCAACGGCAAAGGAAGACCTTTCTCTCTGTCTCTCTCTCTCACTGTCCACTCTGCCTGTCAAAAAAAAAAAATGTTCTGAGTTACAAAAAGAGATCCTAGACAAAATAAAGAGAAGCCCTAGAGTGGCCGAAGACAGGTGCAAGCTCTGTACCTGACAAATGGGTGGTGTGCAGAACATACGAAGGTCATCCAACAACGGAGAACTCGGCAGGGGACAGGCAAGAGCCCTGGGCAGGCCAGTCCCAGAGGAGGGCACAGAGGCGGTCAGTAGATAGCTACAGAGATGCTTAATGCCGTGCAGACTAAGCAAGCAAAATAAATTAGATATAGCTTCGTACTTGCAGACTGACATACAACTTTCAAGTCTGACCGTACCCGGGGCTGAAGGCACTGTGGGAAAATTGGGGCTTGTCCCTGCTGCTGGTGGGGCCAGAGGTACAACCACTCTGGAGACTAATTGAGCAATGCTTACGACATACACACCCTAGAATGATAGGCTACGTATTCCAAGTGGGCATGGCTGTTCACTGCCGTATTGTTTAGACTAATAATTCTGTCAGTGGGACGGCTGTCCGCCCTGTGGTGCTGTCCTACGGGAATTCAGAAGCTGGGGACATCAGAAGACTTGGTCCTGGGGCTTGTTCTGCTTCCAGCTGACGACGAGGGACTTTGCAGTCTCCACTCCTTCTGCATCGACCGCTCTCCCCCAGACACCTTGAGCTCATCCCCTCCCCCTCTTGCAATTCCACAGAGACTTCCCGGAGCCCACTAACCACACACCAGCACCCCCACGCGCATGTCACTGCTTCGTCAAGAAGCAGGGCTGTTTGAGGAGCACGAGTGTAGACTCTGGCCAGCCTAGGTTCAAACTCCAGCTCTCCCGTGTGCTGTTTGCGTGACCGGAGGCAGGTTATACAAGCCTTCCGTGACTCAGTTGCTTCTGCTGTAAAATGGGAATAATGACAGTTTCCACCTGGGAATGCTGTTGTGAGGACTGAATGAGTCAATACGCCCAGGACTTAGAAAAGAGTCTGATATAAAGGAAGTGCTAGTTAGCAGGAGTTAACGAGACTGAACCAGGTGACAGGGACACAGATAAGCCTCATGAACGTGCTGCTGAGTGGACAGAGTCCCCACGCACCTCCCCCACCCCTGAACTTGTTTGGTAGTCTAGGCCCTGATTTCTGCACCCTGCCTCCGCAGTCAGGTGTCCTTGTCACAGGTATGAGTCCCTCCGGGCGCCTTCCCCACCCCACCATCCATGCTGGTCTCAGCCTGGCCAAGTAGGTTCCCAGGAACAGCCGCCAAATTGAATGAACTGGATTAATTCGGAAACATCTTTGAATGTCAGAGGGTGAAGACACCACTGACTTCGTCGTCTATCTTAAGAATTTCCCTTGGGGTCAGCACGGTGGCGTAGTCGGCTAAGGCTCCACCTGTGGCACCAGCATTCCATATGGACGCCAGTTTGTGTCCCGGCTGCTCCTCTTCCCATCCAGCTCCCTGCTAATGGTGTGGGAAAGCAATAGAGGATGGCCTAAGTCCTTGGGCCACTGCACCCACGTGGGAGACCTGGAAGAAGCTCCTGGCTCCTGGCTTCAGATGGGCCCAACTCCAGCTATTGTGGCCATTTGGGGAGTAAGCCAGCAGATGGAAGACCTCTCTCTCTCTCTCTCAAACTCTACCACTCAAAAAAATAAATAAAAATCTTAAAAAATTTTCCCTTGAAGACAGAGGAGTTGGGAGTGATGGAATAGGAGAGCCCCATGGGTTCCTGGGAAGGGGCTCCTCCCAGGGGCCAGGCACCTCAGAGTGGGATTTCCCTGACTCCATGACAGCACTGGGGGTCTCGCCCCAGCTGGTTCCGAAGGTCATTGGGTGCTGAAGGCATTAACTGCTGTGTCACTGGCAAAGGACTCTGAGCACACAGAAAGACCTGGAAGGATGCGGGATGAGCCCTGAGCTACAGGAGGGAGAGAGGGCCTGGGGAGGTGGCGTGGGGAAGGCTTTCTTTTTACTCTATGTGCTTGACATTGTTTGAATTTTGTAGAGCAAGAAAGAATGTGTTACTTGTGAAATATTTTTTAAATTAAAAAAATAAAAATCCCATCCTTTCCTTTGAGAGGAAAGGAGACATACAGAGAGAAAGAGAAAGGCCACATGGCTGAGGCTGGGCCAGGGCCTCCACCCAGCTCTCCTGCATAGGTGGTGGGGACTCAAGTGCTTGGGCTACCACCTGCTGCCTCCCAAGGCCTGCATTTACAGGGAGCTGGAGTCAGGAGCAGGAATCAGGCACAGAACCCAGGCACATCCGACGTGGGATGCAGGCATCTCAGCTGGCGTTCCAAATGCTGGGGTAAATGCCCGCCCCGTCACTTGTGAAATGTTTAGCAAGAAAAGGCGTCTTGTACGTAAGAGGTGCTCAGTGAGAGGGCCCGACTGTTACTCTTGACAACAAAGACTTGGCAGGCAGTGTGGACACCGTGGCAGGACGGGACCTGCAGGGAAGCTGGCTGAGCTCAGGGGCCCTGCGGGGAGTCTCCCAGGCTCTCCTTGCGTGAAGCCTCAGCCTCCTGCTCAGCGCCCCCATCCGCTCTGCCCAGCAGGGGGCGGGGGGGCGCCCAACAGGTGCCACCAGCCCAACAGGTGCCACTGGCAGTTCACTTGTGTTGGTGCGGATAACCCTTTAGCAACAAAAATCAAGGCACAGGGAGTCCCATCCCTGTTGTGAAAAGACAGAGCCGAGGTCCGTCCATGGGGCCATTGCTCTTCCCCCACCTCCCCACGCCGCCTGCGTCCCCTCCCCTCCCCCACGTCTCCGACTGAAGTCTCAGCTGGCATCTCTGGGCTCGGGAGCCCCTGACCCAGACTTGCTGGCTGCCCCTCTGCCAGGCAGGGCCTCTCTCTGTGTCTTCAAGGGGCTTTTCCTCCCACGTTATTGAGGTCTCTACCGGCCACCTTGGAAACAGCTTCCCTGAGCACCCTTCTAAAACAGGCCCCACGGGGTTCCTGTGCCTTTCCTGCACAGTTCCGCCGCTTCCTGCCATCGCGCCCAATGGGGTGCTCAGCGGAGACGCTTCCATGGCGGCTGTTCCCCTGCCCAGGCTGCCACAGCCCCCTCAGGCCCAGGAGGCTGGAAGGTGAGCCAGGATGGCCCAGTCTCCCACCCTCGGCCCTCCCTTCTCGTTTTCTCCTTTCATCTTTCCAGCCACCCGGGAAGCCAGGTGGACAGACCCAACCCTGCCAAGCTGATGGAGAGCTGAAGCCTTGCCCTGCCCAAAGGCATTGGCATTTATTTGCATGTTAAAAAAAAAAAAAAACAGGCAGGAGGCACAACGCCCACGACTGTACCCGCCCCTTGACCGTGACCCGGTATCACTTCTGCAGAGACCCTGCCCTCTGACTCCTAGGCCTAGGATCAGGGCAGCTCTCTCTGACACCGACCCACCTCCACCTTCCCCACCACCCAGGCCTGGCTTTGCCCCACAAGCATCCCCTCCCCAAGCTTCCTGGGGCTCTGTTCTGAAGATGCCCCCCGCTCCATCCCCCAAGATGTCCCAGAGAACCCAGAACAAAGGTCTTACCCATTTCAATCCCGCAGATGACCAGGGCGGCGATCACGGCCCCTGCCGATGTCCCCGCGAAGCGATGGGCTGTGTCCAGCATCCGGGGGGCCAGGTCCCGCAGGGCGTCCACAGCCCCAGCCTGGTAGAAGGACAGGAACCCGCTACCCGAGAAGGAGATGGAATGAGGGGTGTCCGGGTCCCCCTTAAACACCTGTTCATTCATCTCGTCCGCCTCTGGTCCCCCGCTGGGAGCAGGAGCACCCTTCAGGCTCGCCTGCCCCAGCTGGGGCCCGCCGCTCCTGTTGGAACTTGCTACCCAGCTGCCTGGCCAGCCCAAGCCTGGAATGGAGCCGTCTCCAGGCTGCTGGGAACTCCGCAGTGGGTTCAGGCAGCCGCTGCCCACCTGGGCCTGCTAAACTCTTCCGGGAGGCAGCCCCAAAGGTTGGTGAGGGGCCCCAGGTCCCGGGGCGTGGGCTCGGCGCAGAAGGCCCCGGGGGTGTGAGCAGGGTCCTGGTCCCCGAGCTGCTGCTGGCATCATTGCTTGGTTCGCTTCATCTCCGGCGCGGGCTCCTCAGCCCTCGGCACACCAGGCAGCACTCGTGGCGCCCGGCACAGGCCGTACCTGGAGCAGCCGGCACCACTGAACCCTCAGCTGAGAGGCATCCGAAGCCAAGGCTGTAGCAGCCTGGGATCAGGCAGCCCAGCCCCTGAGGGGAGGGGACTCCCCCGGAGGAGGCGGCCTTGGCCCTCAAAGGCAGCACACAGCACCTGTGGGCCTCCCACAGCCACGCCCTCCCCGGCTCCTCCAGGCCGTGTCTGTGTGCACCATGCGTTTGCACAATTCCCTTTGCTTATTCACTTGTTTGTCTATACACATGTCAGGACCAGCCAAGGGCAAAATCATACAGGAGAAGTTTGGCCCTGGGGTCCCGCTCAGCACCCCCTCTTCTCCTGGCCCCTTCCCTGACCCTTTAACTCTTGCTCATCACGGCTCTCACTGAGCCCAGGCCCTCACTCACTCTCCTAAGCACCCAGGAAGAGCTCAGCCTGAAATCCAGATCATTCTAAGTATCTGGGCCTTCCCAGATCTGCCGTACTCCCCACTCTGAGACGGCAATGTTTCATCCTTAGGCTGAACAGCTGCGGTTGTTTCAGCCCAAGGATGAACGTAACAGGGTGAGGGTCAGGGCAGGGAGCCATCTGGTGAGGGAGGGGACACCTGGGACCAGGGGTCACCTGTGGGAGCTGCCCATGCAGTCCTGGCCACAGCCCCCCAGCCTCACATCTCCCCACACAGTACCCGAGGCAGAACTAGAACCCAGGCTCCAAGTCCCCAGCCAAACGCCTGGTCCAGCTCCACCCTCTCTGACATCACTGGTCCTGGGCAGCTCACACCGGTGCCGGGGACCTGGCCAGTCCCCACGGGAATTCCACTGCGTGGGGAGGGCCCGGGGTTCCAGGTAGGCGGCAGTTTTCTGTCTTGGGTAGCTGGTCCCAGGCATCTCACTGTCTCCGCTGGAAAAGAGAGCTTCTGATTGGATGTGTGTGTAGCAGGGACCGTGTGTGTACAGTGTACTCCTAGGGTGGGGTGGGCAGTGACAGGAGTGGAGCCTGGGCAGCTTTGGTGCCAACAGAGGCCTTCCCCCAGTCCGGTCACTCAGATCCCAGCGACTCTGGGAAGCAGCGCAGGCGCACTAGGCAGCCACAATTCAGGACTGCGTGGCGTGGGACTGGGATTCCTGCCAGATAAGTTAAGAGATGAGAGTGGGCAGTGAGGGCTGGGACCATCAGAGATGCTACGCCACAGGGCTGAGGGCTGGGGGACATGGGGAAGCTGGGGACGTTGCAGAGGAGGGATGGGGTGTGCTGGCCTCGCAGGTTCACAGATGAAGGGCCTGAGTGTGAAGCCCGGCTCTGCTGCTTACAGGCACTGTGACCTGGTACTCTCTCTGGGCCTCAGTTTTCCTCCTCTGTGAAAGGGACAGTAATCACTCTGCTTCACAGCAGTTGTGCCAGCTAATGGCTTGAGAGTGCTTGGCATGGGATACGTCCCTCATCATTAGGGTTCTGGAACCATTGGACCCCCTGGAGAAGGTGGGGTCGGCAGAGAAAGGCTTGATATGGGTGTGACACATGGGAGCTCACAAGGGGGATGAGGCTGGGCCCAGAGGACAGGACAGGAGGCGGGGGGTGGCCAGGCCAGGCTGGCAGCTGGAGGAGGACAGGTAATGCAGCCATTGCCACAGAGGGCTTGCGGCACCAGGGACTGGTTGGATGGGCAGGGTGAGTCCCTGCTGACGGCTCCAGAGGAGGGCGGGGCCGCCTTTGGAAGACTCCTGGGAACTGGGCCGGCCCTGAGAAAGGGGGTGGGGGCTGGTGCTCCTTCCAAGCTGTGTCTGCGATGACAGCAGGAGCTTGGCTCTGTGCACGGTGGGCGGGGATGGCTCTGGCGCAGGGGACACAGACCCCTGCCACCGAGGCAGCAGAGAAGGCTAAGTGGGACGGAGGTGGGCACACCTCCCCAGGGAATGGGAAGGCGGCTAGGGACGAGCGTCTCCTTCCGGGTCATCTTGTGGTTCCCGTGAAATAGGAAGCAAGGTCGCCTGCTCCACACGGGCTGTGGCAGCCTCAGGACGCCAGGGACCACCCTGCCCCCAGGAGGGCACCTGTGCAGCCACGGGCTCTGGCGTCCCCGCCTTCTCAGGCCTGGCTGTCTCCCAGGCGAGTGCCCAGTTCTGTGGACACCAAAGCCATGCAAGACTCCCCCTCTGCCAGCGGGCTAGAAACTCCAGCCTGCGGACGAGGAGCCCCAGCAGAGCTGTCGCCGGCGCCTCGGAGCTGACCCCCAACATGACGCGGTGGCTGCCAAGCCCCCTGCCTCCGGGCTAACAGTTGGGAAGATCCTCCCCCTTCCCTCCCTCCTGCAGGCGAATGGCGCGAGGAAGGATCGCTTTCCAGTGCTTCTGCTCGTGACTTTTAAAGCCATCTTGGATATTTTTCACCCACGTTAACCCAGCTCGCGTGACTCATCAGAGCCCACTCACCCTGCAGGATTCCAGCTCGACCACCCACAGTGACGGCAGGAGAACCCGGAAGCCCTGCAAGGGCTGGGAAGCCAGCCAGGTCTGTTCTTGGGGACAAAGCCATATCTGGCTTTCCGCTGCCGGTGCACCACCCTCCTTGAAATGTTTTATTGAGTGACGGACCTGGTGAGCGTGAAGGTCAGAACATCACTGTGAAGGTTCTTGCCAATAACACTGACCCTGAACCTGACTTCTGCATATAAAGAAACAAGGTCAGTGACGCCACGCGGAGACAATGGGACAAGCAGGGAACGTGGGGTGGCCCTGCAGGAACCGTCGCTCACAGCCTCCTGCCCACCTCCCTGCGGGGCAGCTGAAGAGGACTGGCACTCGATTTCCCAGCCTCCTTTGGGGCTAAGGGTAGTGTGCGACCCACTTCCGGGCAAGGAGAAGTAAAGCAAACGGGCCAGGTGGTTTCTGATGAACGTGGCGCCGGGCACTATGGCCATGTTGGCGCACCCCAGAGTGTGTTAGTTTCCTGTCATTGCATAAATATCATCCCAAACCTAACACCTTGCAACAACACATATAATCTCACGCGATTCGGAGAATCTGGAACCTTAAAATGGCTCAGCTGGGTGCCTGTGGCTCAGGGTCTCTCATGCGGTTCGAGCTGACAGCCAGGGATGCAGGCATGCTCACTGGAGCAGGAGAATCCACGCCAAGCTCACTCTCGCTGTTGGTGGTGGGCGCCAGTTCTTAGCCGGCTATAGCAATGGCAGTGAGGCTCCAATGCCTTCCCATATGTGCTGAGCCATGAGGCTGCTCACAAGATAGCCGCTTGCTTTCTTCAGAGTGAGAAATGCAAGGGGGAGAGAGAGAGAGAGAGAGAGAGAATGAACCCAAGGCAGAAGCCACAGTCTGTTTATAACATGATCTCAGAAGACCACACAGACCAACCTGGTGAAGCATGGGAGGGGGTAAGTACCAGGTGGGGCTGATTGACAGCTGCATTGCAGGCCGCTTAGTGCTCTGGGAATGGAAGAGGAAGGCCAGGAGTCTGTGTGAACCTGCTCAGTGACTGCACCAAGCCCCAGGTGGCTTGTGTGTGTGCTGCCTGTTACTGCAGACAGTATTTTTTTAAAGATTTTTTATTTATTTGACAGGTAGAGTTACAGACAATGAGAGAGACAGAGAGAAAGGTCTTCCTTCCATTGGTTCACCCCCTAAATGGCCGCTACAGCCGGAGCTATGCCTATCCAAAGCCAGGAGCCAGGTGCTTCCTCCTGGTCTCCCATGCGGGTGCAGGGCCCAAGCACTTGGGTCATCCTCCACTGCCTTCCTGGGCCACAGCTGGACTGGAAGAGGAGCAACTGGGACTAGAACTGGTGCCCATATGGGATGCTGGTGCCACAGGCGGGGGATTAACCTAGTGTGCCACGGCGTCGGCCCCATAGACGATATCTTTAATATTGGTAATTCATGTCTTTATTAAGCACTGTCCACTTGATATTTGCTGCCGAGTGCAAGAACTATTAAACATTTCTGCTAAAGTATAGCTTTTATCTCAAAAAGAACAAATAAAATATGCCCTTTGATTTCCAAGAGTTTTATTTATTTGAGAGGCAGAGCGACTAACAGACGAAGATTGTTGCCATCCCCCGGCTCACTCCCCAGACACCTGCCAGGGCTGGCTTGGCCTAGGGCAGGGGCAGGGGTTGGAGATCCAGTCTGGGTCTCCCACATGGGTGGCAGGGGCCCAGGCATTTGAGCCATCACCCACTGCCTCCCAGGGTACACACTGGCAGGCAGCTGGCATGTGGGACACAGCTGGGACTCAGACCTGGGACTCAGGCAGCTTAACTGCTAGGACAATGCTCACCCCTGCCATCCGCTTTTAGTATAAACTAAAGAAATACTTTAAGGTATAGATACTTTGTTTCTGTAGGTGAAATGAAATTTAGGACATGCATGAAAACTCTGAAAAATGCCATGTGAACCTTCCAGGAGCAGCTTACCAACTACTGCTTTTGTCAGATGCCAACAAGTAGAATCTGCCCTCCTCCCCGCCCTTCCTGGAAAATAAAATGCAGTCCTTGGCTGGCACCAAGGCTCGTTTGGCTAATCCTCCGCCTGCGGCGCCGGCACACCAGGTTCTAGTCCCCGTTGGGGCGCCAGATTCTGTCCCAGTTGCTCCTCTTCCAGGCCAGCTCTCTGCTGTGGTCCGGGAGTGCAGTGGAGGATGGCCCAAGTGCTTGGGCCCCTGCACCCACATGGGAGACCAGGAGGAAGCACCTGGCTCCTGGCTTCGGATGGTGCAGCGCGCCGGCCATAGTGGCCATTTGGAGGGTGAACCAACGGAAGGAAAACCTTTCTGTCTCTTACTGTCTAACTCTGCCTGTCAAAAAAATAAATAAAATGGGGTCCTGATAGTGAACTGCACAGCCCCTAAGATTGCACTTGCCTTCAAGGTGTGTGGCTGAAGCTGTGACTGCTCCATCAACAAGCATACAGGTATAGCCTCTGTGGCATGCAAGTGTTCAAACCTCTACTAAAAAGTGGAGAATTTTAGAAGATACAAAGAGAGAGAAGAAAATCTGACAAAGTTGAGATGGGGAGGGAGCTTGCTGTTTTTCTATAATGTTATCTTTAATTTTTTTAACTTACTGCTTTTATTTATTTG